AGAATTGATGCTTTTGAACTGTGGTGTTGGAGAAGACTCTTGAGAGTCCCTTGGACTGCAAGGAGATCCAACCAGTCCATCCTAAAGGAGATGAGTCCTCAGTGTTCATTGGAAGGACTGATGTTGAAGCTGAAACACCAATATTTTGGCCACCTGATGCAAAGAGCTGACTCATTTGAAAAGACCCTGATGCTGGGAAATATTGAAGGCAAGAGGAGAAGGGGACAACAGAGGATGAGATGGTTAGAAGGCATCACCAACTCAATGGACATGAGTTTGGGTAAACCCTGGAAGTTGGTGATGGACAGGGAGGCCTGGTGTGCTGCGGTCCATGGGGTTGTAGAGTCGGACATGACTGAGTGACTGAACAGAACTGAATGGTGTGGTGGTGAATTTTATATTAACAGGGTCCAAGGTAGGTGATAAAGATTATTTCTCTGTGTGTCTGTGTGGGCGTTTCTGGAAGAGATTAACATTTGAATTGGTAAATGAGTAAAGACCATCACTGCATGCATGTGAGTGAGCATCATCCAACCTGTTGGAGGCCTGAATAGAATCATAAGCAGAGAAAGAACAGAGTTTCTCTTTGCTTGCTCAGGGACATCTACCTTCTCTTGCCCTTGGGCATGACTGCAGTTGTTCTCATCCCTTTGCTTTTGACTTTTCTGGGCCTCCAGTTCACAGCTGGCAGATCATGGAGCTTCTCTGCCTCCATGATTACATGAACCAATCCCTCATAATAAGTCTCTTTCTGCATGTCTCTAGATGCAAACATTTCTAAAAGTATTAGGAAAATTTTATGAAATGGATGTTTTATATTTCCAATAAACAAAATAATAAAGATTTTTAAATAAGTATACAGAAGGTGTAAAATTATAATCTCTGCTTTCATAAAGACAGCAAGTATTTCATACACACAGAGGAATATGCTTATTTTTTCAACAAGCATTGACCATTTGCCAGTATTGTTCATGACAAAGAAAATTTCAGATTTATATTGGACAGAAATAGAGTTATGATAATATAGTTAATGAGGATCTCTAGTAACATTCTATATTCACAACATGTCAGAAAATATGTTAAAGCCTTCCTGTATATTGTTTCATTTATTCCTAATAACAATGCTATGGAGTTTAAGCAGTTATATCTCCAGTTTGCATATAAGGATATTAGATTTAGTATTTTTCCCAAGGTTACATGGATGGTCAGATCAGTATGCATCAGAGTCCACTGGTGGGTTTGCTGAGCCCCATGCACAGAGCTTCTGATTCATTGCGTCTGGTTCAGGGTCCTACAATTTGCGTTTTCAATGGTTCTTAGTTGATGCTGTTGCTAATGATGCTGGTCAAATGCCCTACATTTTGAGAAGTATTGGGCTAGGTGATGCTAAGGACAATTTATTTATCACTATACTTCTTTGGAAAAAGGAGACATCACAGAGACCATGTTCTGACAAAAAAGCAATAAATTTAGAAATTTATAATTAGCAATGCTAAAAACACAGTGCATGGAAATTTAATTAAAAATAAAAAGCAATCATTCCCAAGTTAATCAATTTAATGCATTTCCAATTAAAATTCCAATTGGATTTTTTTTCTTTGAACTTGACAAAATGATTCTAAACTTCATGTGAATGAATAATAGAAAATAATAGCCAAGACAAATTAGAAAAAGAAGAGTATTGAGGGGAACTTGCCTCACTATATAATAAAACATTATAGATTTCTAGCACAAGATTGCATACCCAGTAGGTTATCACTTCTCATTTCTGTAAAATCCCCACTGAAATATTGAAATGAAGCTTCAAGGTATGACAAGGAATAAACCAATAACATTGATGAGGAAGGGCAACAGCAAGCATGAGAGAGCACAGAACTTTGGGGAAGACGAAAGTGAATGGGAACATGTTAGCAGGCAAAATGAGAGGAATGAAATTGACATGACCTGGTAGAATCCAGAAAGGGCTGTGGACCACATGGAACATGGTCTGCCTTTCAGAATCCTGCATGGAGGGTCTTCAGGCTCAGTGGAGGAACACATGATAGATAGCAGGTGTAAAAGATGGGGCTAACAAAAAAAAAGTGCAGCCCAATATGTATACCCAAACACAACAATGGAATATTATTCTCAGCAGAAATGAAGTGAATAACTGAAGACACTTAGAGTGATGATGTTGAAATCTTGGAGTAAATCCTTCGTCTCTGGCCTTTGGGGACCCTTAATCTTAGACTCAGTATCAGGTCATTTGGGGGAAATTAGAAGAAAGTTATCAAGAGAAATTAAATAGCCCAACAGATAAAACATCTAATGCTAGTATATAAGGTTTCTCTTGGAGAAGGAAGTGGCAACACTTTCTAGCATGGTTGCCTGGGAAATCCCATGGACAGAGGAGCCTTGTAGGCAACAATCTATAGGGTCGCGAGAGTCAGACATGATATAGTGACTAAACCACCACTGCCACCACAAGGTCTCTCTAGCATAAGAAAAACCCCATAGGAAAATAATAGCTCTAGGAAAATAAGGGTACAAAGCAAAAACTTGTGGCACCCAAGAGACCATCTAAGACATATCCTAGGCCAGCCTTTTAAGCTGGCCTAGAGAAGACCCAGCCCAATAGACCAAGAGGACCGAGGCAAAGGCAATTTGGAAAAAAAAAAAGGCAATTGATAGAATAACTGATGTAGTGGTATCTCAGTCCATTCAACCTCCTACAAGGAAATACCATGGACTGGGTGGCTTATAANGACCATCTAAGACATATCCTAGGCCAGCCTTTTAAGCTGGCCTAGAGAAGACCCAGCCCAATAGACCAAGAGGACCGAGGCAAAGGCAATTTGGAAAAAAAAAAAGGCAATTGATAGAATAACTGATGTAGTGGTATCTCAGTCCATTCAACCTCCTACAAGGAAATACCATGGACTGGGTGGCTTATAAACATGAGAAATTAATTTCTCATAGACTGGAGGCTAAAAAATACAAGATCAAGTCAGCAGAAGATTTAGTGTCTGGTGAGAGCCCACTTCCTGGCTTGAGGATAGAGAGGTTAGAGAAAGGTAATATAAAAGAATTAAATTTCTAACTCCAAAAAGCAGGAGAGTGTTTATAAGGTCAAAAATAATACATAAAAATGGCAATTGTGTGTTCTTTGAGACTGGGAGCTTATAAGAAATATGCCACCCCCCAAAAAACTAAAATTGGTTACCTTTGGAGAGTAAAACTAGGGGATTGAGGAGGATGGGCCAGGGCAGGTGACATTTATTATAAACATTATTCTTTTTTTTAAGGAGATACTTTATAGATATTTTTGTTTACTTACTGTTTTAATATAAACTAAAGTTTTATTTTATTAAAAATAAGTTTTTATTTTTATTAGGATCAGGTAAATTTTTTGTTCTTATTGTTCAGTTGCAAAGTCGTGCCAGACTCTTTGCAACCCCATGAACTGCAGCATGCCAGATTCCCTGTCCTTCACCATCTCCTGCAACTTGCTCAAACTCACGTCCATTGAGTCAGTGATGCCATCCAACCATCTCATTCTCTGCCACCCTGTTCTCCCATTGCCTTCAATCTTGCCCAGCATTAGAGTCTTTTCCAAAGAGCTGGCTCTTCACATCACATGGCCGAAGTATTGGAGCTTCAGCATCAGCCCTTTCAATGAATTTTGAGGGCTGATTTCCTTTAGGATTGACTGGTTTTATATCTTTGCAGTTAAAGGGACTCTCAAAAGTCTTTTCTAGGGCCACATTTCGAAAGCATCAGTTCTTCGGCACTCAACCTTCTTTATGATCCAACTCTCACACCCATTGGAGAAGGCAATGGCAACCCACTCCAGTACTCTTGCCTGGAGAATCCCAGGGATGGGGAGCCTAGTGGGCTGCCATCTATGGGGTCGCACAGAGTCAGATACAACTGAAGCAACTTAGCAGCAGCAGCAGCTCGCACCCGTACATGACTACTGGAAAAAACGTAGCTTTGACTGTATAGACCTTTATTGATAAAGTGGTGTCTCTGCTTCTTAATACATTGTCTAGGTTTGTCATAGCTTTTCTTCCAAGGAGCAAGCATCTTTTAATTTCATGGCTGCAGTCACCATCCACAGTGATTTTGGGGCCCAGGAAAATAAAATCTGCCACTGTTTCCACGTTTTCTGCATCTATTTGCCATGAAGTGATGGGACCAAATGCCATGGTCTTCGTTTTTTGAATGTTGAGTTTTAAGCCACCCTTTTCACTCTCCTCTTTCACCTTCATCAAGAGGATCTTTAGTTCCTCTTCGTTTTCTGCCCTTAAAGTGGTAGCATCTGCATATCTGAGGCTGTTGGTATTTCTCCTGGCAATCTTGATTCCAGCTTGTGCTTCATCCAGCCCAGCATTTCACATGATGTACTCTGCATATATGTTAAATAAACAGGATGACAATATACAGCCTTGATGTACTCCTTTCCCGATTTTGTATATAGTAATATGTGTAGCTTTATAAGAGGCTCTCAGAATGTTTTCCAAAATGGTTGCACCACTTTAACTCCTGTTGACAAAGTAAGAGGTGTTAGTTTCCCCAGATTCTTGCCAAGATATGATACGATTAGACTTTTCAGATGGGACTGGGCTTCTCAGATGGCACTCAGTGGTAAAGAACACACCTGCCACTGCAGGAGCCACAAGAGATGCAGGTTCAATCCCTGGGATAGGAAGATCCCCTAGAGAAGGGCATGGCAACCCACTCCAGCATTCTTGCCTGGAGAATCCTTAGGGCAGAGGAATCTGGCAAGCTATAGTCCATAGGATCACAAAGAGTCGAGCATGATTGAAGCACACTCACACTCATGACGTAGCACACTCACAAGCATGCACATATACTAGGTATCTATTACCATCTCATTGTGATTTTTAACTTGAATTATCCTGAAGACTGATGGTGCTGAGAGTATTTTCATGTGCTTATGATTATTGGCTTCTCAGATGGCACTCAGTGGTAAAGAACACACCTGCCACTGCAGGAGCCACAAGAGATGCAGGTTCAATCCCTGGGATAGGAAGATCCCCTGGAGAAGGGCATGGCAACCCACTCCAGCATTCTTGCCTGGAGAATCCTTAGGGCAGAGGAATCTGGCAAGCTATAGTCCACAGGATCACAAAGAGTCGAGCATGATTGAAGCACACTCACACTCATGACAGCACACTCACAAGCATGCACATATACTAAGTATCTATTACCATCTCATTGTGATTTTTAACTTGAATTATCCTGAAGACTGATGGTGCTGAGAGTATTTTCATGTGCTTATGATTATCTTCTATCTCTTCTGTTTATGTAAATTGTTACCCATCCACTCCATCACCCACCCACCCCCACCGCCCTTTACTGGATTGATTTTCTTCTAACTAGTGAGTTGTTCTTCATATATTCTGCACAAAATTTCTTTTATAGATACATTTTGCAAATTGTCTTCTGATCTGTGACTTGCCTTTGAATACTTCAATGCTATCTTTAGGAAGATAGACTTTTACATTTTCAATTGTAGGTTTTATTTTCTTATAGTTACTCCCCTATCACACCTTCAGAAAGGTGGCCCCTATATTTTCTTCCAATAGTTTTATAGTTTTAGCTTTTAAGTTTAAATTTATGAAACATTTCAAGTAAATTCTTATAAATTGTGTGAAGTCAAGGTCAAGATCCATTATTTGCCAGAGGATATTCAGTTGTCCTAGGACCATTTGGTCAACAATCTCATTTCTCAACATTGGTAATATTAATATTTTGTTTCATATTTATTTTTTCCAGACTCTATACTGATCCACTGATCTATATAGTAGCCCTTAGGCAAAAGGAAAGTCTTGATCAATGTAGCTTTTTAATAAACTTGAAATCACATACGGTAAGTCTTCCAAATTTGTTCTTTTTTTTTTTAAGTTTTTTAGCTATTATTCTTTGTATGGCACATAAATTATAGAACCAGTACATCAGTTTATGGGAAAAAAAAAACTTTCTGAGATTTTGATTAGAATTATGTTGAGCCTATAAATAAATCTGGAGAGAATTTTTAAAAGTCTTCTTTGACATATTTTTTTGATGTTGTATGGTTCTTCGTGTACTGGCTTTGCACATATTTTGTTAATTTGATCCTTAATTATTTGCTCCTTTTAATGCTTTAGTAAATAGCATTTTTAACATTTACTTTCCAATAGTTCTTTGCACAAATATAGAAATCCAGTTGATGTTTATATTGACTTTGTATCCTGAGACCCATTTAAATTCTTATTGGATTTTGGTATATACCCTAGGACTGTCTAAATAAGTAATTATATCATCTGTGAATAAGGACAGCTTACTTCTTCCTTTATAATGTGCATGTCTTTCTTTGGCATGCTTTGTTGCACTGATTAGCACTTTCTGTACAATGTAAAATTCAAGTGGTGAGAACAGACTTAATTTGTCTTCATCCTAAGGAGTGAACCATTCAGTTTCACTGTTAACTGTCACCTGTAGATTTAATCAGATAGGGGAAACTCCTTTCTAATACTACTTTACCAAGAGTGTTTAGAATGAATATCTGTTGAAATTTCTCAAATGTTTTTTCTGAATCTATTAAGAATATCATTTTTTGTCTCTTTTGTTCCATTAATAATGAATTATGTTGTTTTATTTTTAAATATTAAATTAGCATTATACTCACAGAACAAACTTCCTTTTGTTAAATGTAATATCCTTTATCTATTTTGCTTTATCTTTCCATCCCCTAGGATTTCTGCTTTTAAATTTTTATTTTTGAAGTCTCTATCAATTATATATCACAGAGACATTGAATTCCTACACATTTCTAATATTGCAATATTTTTATCCTTTATATAGATTAATCTGTAATCCATTTTTGGATTGACTGTTACAGAGTGATCCAGGGCTGTCATTCTCCACTACATAAATGAGTTTTCTGAAATGAGTTTAAGAATTTTTGCTCCTCCATATTGATTGTTTTGCCAACTTTATTGTATATTATGCTTCCAAATATATGTCAGTATCTCTGTTATTTATAATGCTTCGCTGAAACATTTTTTAGTCCTTATAAGAAATTCATCTGCTTTGTTTCACTATTTTACTATAGTTTTATTTTTTCTTTCTCTCTTGTGTGATTAGGTACTCCCTCTTACAAACTTTAATTTTGTTTAATGAACTTATGAGTTCTTCTTGGACTTTTGTTCTTTGATGTACATTTTATATTAAGTTTACTGAGTTAAACAGTAAGTCTAACCAAATGTTTTAGTGGAATCACACTTTAATTATAGACTAAATTGAGAGATAGTTTACATACAAATATTTAATTATCCAAGAATATGGATTTTTCATTTTCTCAAGTTAACTTCTGGGTGCTTTCTTCACATTCTGAACTTTTTAAATAAGAGGTGCTATTTTGATTAATTCCTGTGTTTAATATTGATTTTTTTGTGAATTGCATTTTACTTTTTACTTATTATTTCTAGGTGATCATTACAGATGTCAAATTTTTACTAGTTTATCTAGTTAAAAAGCTACTTTGTTAAAATTAAAATTTAAAGTTCATCATATATATGTATGTATATGATAAACATTGCTGAACTTTCTAAAAAATATCAGTAGTAATTATATAGCACCTTATCTGAAAATGAGGACAATTTTAATTTTCCCCTGATTTCCTTCCAATAAATTCATTTAAATCTTTACATTTTCCTCAGGAATTCTTTCACCCACTTCTTCCATGCTTTAATATATTTAACTCATAACATTAGTTATGAATAGCATTTAAATTCCATTTTTACTTATACTATAATATCTTATTTAAAGGTGTGCCTGAGAACATGTGTTTGTGTGCATGTGTTCACAGATGTTTGGGTATTGTATTTTCTAGATGTATAGATTTTTATTGGGCCAACAATCTGAGATAATCACTTTTAAGTTTATGTCAGAAAACTCACTGTGAATGATATTAAGTTCTAAAACTTTCTTTAGCTTTGAGTGACAAAAGAGGTGGACTGTCCTGGTTTTTCTGTTTACCTCCCCACATCCAGTCTTTACTTTTCTGCTACTGTGTGCCTTAAGAGGTTCTTCTCTGTGGACTAAGTCAGTCAAGATACCTGGCTTCCAGTTTCTGTTTAGATTTGTCAGATGGGACACATTGGCAAAAACCTAGAGTGAAGTTTCAGAGAGAAGTAAGAGTGTTTTTTCCCCATTTCTTCCCTGCTTTGCTACGGTTGTAATGTTTTCACTCCTCTAGGGCCGTAACTCCTGTATAGCTTCCCCTTGACATCACTCATCATCAGTGACCAGACACACCATTTTCTCTTACTGATGTCTCAGGCTAAGGGCAGTAATTCCTGCCTGTGATGGTTGGTGCCTGGGTGGCTCACCAACCTTTGTTGATTTCCTAACATTTGTCCACATGCCTGCAAAAAAATTATCCTTTCTTTCAGGTAAATCCTTTTTAAGTGTGACATGCATTTTCTCTCAAAACTCATCCTGATCCATACTCAACAAAAAATGTCAAATAAAAACATGATGGAACATTTGGAACCATTAGACATTTGATTAAAATCAGCAACAGAAAGGAGAAGTGATAAATTCCATTTCAACATGCCATCCCGTTAAGCCTTCTCTACATGTATCGAATCAAAACCATCCATAAGAAAAAGAAATGCAAAAAGGCAAAACGCTTGTATGAGGAGGCCTTAAAAAGAGGTGAGAAAGAAGAGAAGTGGAAGACAAAGAGAAAAAGGAAAGATATTCCCATCTGAATGCAGAGTTCAAAAGAAGAGCAAGGAGAGATAAAAAAAAAAAAAAAAAAGGCTTCTTCAGTGATCAGTGCAAAGAAATAGAGGAAAACAATAGAATGTGAAAGACTAGAGATTTCTTCAAGAAAATTAGAGATACCAAAGAAACATTTCATGCAAAGATGGGCACAATAAAGACAGATAGATATGGACCTATCAGAAGCAGAAGATATTAAGAAGAGGTGGCAAGAATACACAGAAGAACTATACAAAACAGATCTTAATGACCCAGATAACCATTAGGGTGTGATCACTCACCTAGAGCCAGACATCCTGGAATATGAAGCCAAGTGGCCCTCAGGATACGTCACAATGGGCAAAACTAGTGGAAGTGATGGAATTCCAGCTGAGCTATTTCAAATCTTAAAAGATGATGCTGTGAAAGTGCTGCAGTCAATAAGCCAGCAAATTTGGAAAACTTAGCAGTGGCCACAGGACTGGAAAAGGTCAGTTTTCATTCCAATCCCAAAGAAAGCAATGCCAAAGAATGTTCAGACTACCCCACAATTGCACTCATCACACATGCTAACAAAGTAATGCTCAAAATTCTCCAAGTGAGGCTTCAACAGTTAGTGAACTGACAAGTTCCATATGATCAAGCTGGATATACAAAAGGCAGAGGAACAAGAGATCAAATTATCAACATCCATTGCATCATAGGAAAAGCAAGAGAAATCCAGAAAGACATCTACTTCTGCCCTATTGACTACGCCAAAGCCTTTGCCTGTGTGGATCACAACAAACTGTGGAAAATTCTTCAAGAGATGGGAATACCAGACCACCTGACCTGCTCCGGAGAAACCTGTATGCAGGTCAAGAAGCAACAGTTAGAACTGGACATGGAACAATAGACTAGTTTTAAATTTGGAAATGAGTAGTTCAAGGCTGTATATTGTCACCCTGCTTATTTAACTTATATGCAGAGTGCATTTTACAAAAGTCTGGACTGGATGAAGCACAAGATGGAATTAAGATTGCCAGGAGAAATACCAGTACCTTAGATATGCACCCTTATGGCAGAAAGCAAAGAGGAACTAAAGAAACTCTTGATGAAGGTGAAAGAGGAGAGTGAAAAAGCTGGCTTAAAATCTAACATTAAAAAAAAAAAAGATCATGGCATCTGGTCCCATCACTTCATAGATGGGGAAGCAATGGAAACAGTGACAGACTTTATTTTCTTGAGCTCCAAAATCACTGTGGACAGTGACTACAGCCATGAAATTAAAAGACACCCGCTCCTTGGAAGAAACAACCTAGATGGCGTATTAAAAAGCAGAGACATTACTTTGCCTACAAATGTCCGTATAGTCAAAGCTTTGGTTTTTCCAGTAATCTTGTACGGATGTGAGANGATCCCCTGGAGAAGGGATAGGCTACCCACTCCAGTATTCTTGGGCTTCCCTTATAGCTCAGCTGGTAAAGAATCCACCTGCAATGCAGGAGACCTGGGTCCCATCCCTGGGTTGGGAAGATCCCCTGGAGAGGGGAAAGGCTACACACCCCAGTATTCTGACTTGGAGAATTCCATGGACTGTATAGTCCATGGGGTCCCAAAGAGTTGGACATGACTGAACGACTTTCATTTAAAATGCTGTAAGAGATGGAAAGTGTTGGAGGAGGGCTCTGAGGAAAAAAAAAAAAAAAACAAAGGCATCTGTATATAAATCAACTGTTCCACATAATTGCACCACTCTTTAAACATTTCCTTCACCCCATAAAGGAAGCCTCAATCATTCAGATTATGAGAAGATCTCCTTCCAAATGGACATAAGAATTCCAGTTCTCACAGTCATCTTTGTTTGCTCAAATATTTTCTTCCAAGATTACACATTATACTTTCCCCTTAGCCAATACATTTACTTAGCATATGAGTTGATGTGGTTTCTACTTCAACTCAGAAATGTGTGTATCCAAATCTTACATCTAATTTTTATCCATGTTCTGTCCATAGTTGATAAATGAAAGATTTCCCTTAAGACCACCTTTAAAGCTTATGATTCTTTGTCATGCCCTCCAAGCCTTGAGGTAAAGGTTAAATCCTTAAGCTTCTTTCTTGTATTCTTTTTTGTAAGCTTTTTAGAACAGTTCAAACCAGTTACCCCACCATTACACACATCCTATGTAATTACCACTGTCACCATAGTAATTAAGTACCTCAACCTGTTGTTCTACCTTTACTGTGCCTTCCACCATTCATTCTGTCTTCGTCAGTGATCATTTTAATAAGTGTAACCATAGATTATCATTGCCTTCAAGGAGATGAACTGTGTTTATAAATATGAGCAATATTATTCTAGAATTCCATTGTTTAGTAATAGGGGTATGATTTCAGTTCAGTTCAGTGCATTTCAGTCACTCAGTCATGTCCAACTCTGTGACCCCATGGACTGCAGCACACCAGGCCTCCCTGTCCATCACCAGCTGCCAGAGTTTACTCAAACTCATGTCCATTGAGTCAGTGATGCCATCCAACCATCTCATCCTCTGTCATCCCCTTCTCCTCCCACCTTCAATCTTTCCCAGCATCAGGGTCTTTTCCAATGAGTCAGTTCTTCACATCAGGTAGCCACAGTATTGGAGTTTCAGCTTCAGCATCAGTCTTTCCAATTAATATTCAGGACTGATTTCCTTTAGGGTGGACTGGTTGGATCTCCTTGCAATCCAAGGGACTCTCAAGAGTTTTCTCCAACACCATAGTTCAAAAGCATCAATTCTTTGGCTCTCAGCTTTCTTTGTAGTCCAACTCTCACATTCATACATGACTACTGGGTACTAATAATTCTATTAGAGTCCCTCTGAAAAAGAGATGCTGTGACTCTTTCTCATTTATATTATATCAGTTTGCTTCCACAGAAAGTCCTTTCTTTTCACTTTTTTCATGGATAAATATTCATTTACTTACTTATATATTTTCTATCATTTCTATGAAGTCCATATTTAACAGGTATTTTTTCAATATATTCTTAATCTGCCATTTAGATATAGATGTTCTAATAGCTACTAATATTCTAATAAATTTGTAATAAAGTGAAAAGTCCTTAATTAGAAAATGGGAATCCTATAATAGGGAGGACTCATAAACTGTTCAATGGCTCCATTTTCTTCACTTGCTTATGTATGCAGTTCATGTTTATGGGGGAGTATATCTATCTAGAGGAAATGTATTGGCTTAAAATAAGACTTGGATGAATGAATAAAAAAGATGTGGTATGGTATGTGTATGTGTGTGTGTGT